TTAAATACGTAGTGATTTATTTCATATAATGAGAGTGATCATCCAATAGGAACTTGGGGGAGAAATTAGTAAATCCGGCCATGAAAGATAAACAAGAAATTTAAATACATCATATTAAACAGGAATCTTTAACACTAAATATAGTGTTCTCATGAAAAGTATTCTCTTTAGAACCAGGTGATCTAAATTAATGATCGTGTTATGCAATAAATTCACATGGATAACACTTTCTCAGTCAACCCCTCTTGTATACAGAATTATTCCTTTCTTCACGCAACACCCTGAGCAATATTAATTTATCTTGGCTTGCTTGTAAAGACCAGGATTATTATATGCAGTGCTGTACTGTTAATGCAGATATAATATTATTTTATATGCTAATATCTAAGAGAAGCTTTCACAAAATTACAATGATGGACAAGTTGCATATTGCTAAGGAAATCGCACTTGCCTTTTTATTTACATTTAATCGTAAGGTCCGTAGAGACATTGCAAGTACTATACATTTTATAGTTTTATATTTACTAATTATTAATATTTCAAGAATTTTCATTCGAAAAATATTTTAATTCATCAAATGAAAATCAAAAATGCAGATTTTAAATAAAATCAGATAAATGAAATGAAACATATACGACTTTAAATTTAACAATTCTTGAAATGTTAACTGTAATATTTTACTATTCCTAATTATTAATGTGATGTGTCTATAACTCTATGCAAAAATGTTCATCGTTATAGTCCTTCAACTGACAGTATGACATTATAGAAATATAAAATTACAGGTAACACTATAACAATACTGTATGAACTATTTGAATTACGGTAACATATTTTACAGCTCTTACAGCAATCAAGATTTTATACACAATTAGCTGTATATGTAATTAACTATGTTACATACTATAGTGCGTAATTCAGCAATTACAATGAGCGTTGGTCACGGAATACAAATTAAACCTTCATTTTTAAAATTAAAAATAGAATTTTGTACCCTGCTCGACACAATCAAGCAAAATTTGGTCTCAAGTACCTTATAAAATCAAATAAATCACTTTACATATATACAGAATGTGCGCGCATACTATATTAGATACATATTGTTCTGCATCATTTCACAATTTAGGTGCACCCAGAAAATGTTTATCAGGTTCTAAACAAAACTTACATATTTGCATTGTCTTATTACTATATTAAACTTAATAATGTATATAGTTAACACTTCTATAACGAAGTGTTGGTTCTGGCTGTAGAAAAAATTTACTATACAAAGAATCTTATCTATCAAAAAATTTCTCATAACAATTAATGAATACTCGAAGTGAATTAAAAATTAGAGTTTAGCCAAAGAAAATCTAGTGTGAAAAAAGAAACATATATCAATCCGAAATGAGGGGCGTAAAAAAGGATCAGCTGCAAAAAGAATACAGTCAACTCTCCTTATAATGAACCTATCTATAATGAACTCTGGATATAATGAACAAAAATTTTGAATTTTATATTAGTTCGATATTAAGAAAAGTATGGTTTTTTAAGAAACATAGTGATTCTGTGTATCGAATTTCTTACTACAACCAGAAAAAATGATATATAAAGAGTTGGCTGTGCATAATTTATCGAAGAAACAATAAGAAATAACCTAGTTATATTTCTAAAATATCTAGATTCAAATTTGTTTGTATTATTTCTATGCATCGTATACACATTGTAAATTGATATATTATCGTTATTTGTTGAAAAATAAATTATGTGTTACATCATCTGGACCACAAAATCTCGACATCAAAAATCCCGACAACCAAAATCTCGAAACCATAATCCCGATGTGACAATTAATAAAGTTTAGTAATCGCATTAACAATCATTGTCAAACTTTAAATCTTAATTGTCACGTCGCGTGATGTCAGTATTATGGCCCGTCGAGATTTTTGGATGTCGAGATTTTGTGTAGAACCCATATGAACACACCGAATCCAACCTGACACATATATTCTGGGTGCAAAAAGATTAGGGCTACATCTGATGTTTGAATTTCATATTAGATCGGTATAAAAAGGTTACGGTTTCTTAAGAAAATATAGGTATGTAATTTTCTATAGCGAATTGGCTGTATAACAAACTCATCTATAATGAACTTTGGATATAGCAAACTCAAAATTTATAACGAACCTTCTTCTAGAACTATCAGTTTGTTGTAAAAGAATTAACTGTATTCATCCATATTTAATGCAAAATAAATATCGTATAGTGCATATTATAGTATCCCGGATATGATGCATTTTACAGGCAAAATCGTATAATACGTGAGGTACTATTATGAAAAAAATTTTTATGTAAGAAATATCCTGGGTATTTACATTCCACCGTGAAAATTTTCAATGGAAAGTACTTTGCAAGGAGTTATTATGGATCGCACTATACGGTAATAGGGAATTTATGAACTCACAAAAGTATGTTACTGTATTCATACTATTTTTGATTGCACCTTTTTTTAATGCATTTGTTAAAAAGTTTAGAATTTTATAAAAAAAAAATCACACTTTAGATTCTTTATTCACAGAATTATACAAGTTATCATTCATTCATATTGATATTTGATATTATTGATATTTAAATTTATGATTAGCCATAATCATTATCCGGCAGGATTTTATCCAATATATGTATATAGCTATCTTATGGATAAGAGTAAAGTTAATTCAAATTTTGTGGATCAGGCTTAATATAATTGATTTTCTCCCACAAGTCATCGCCACGTTCTTTTAAAATCTCCTTTGTTTTTGCAGGCACGGTGAACGGAAATAAAGCATAAGAAGAATTTGTAGGATAACAATTAGGGAGATTTTTAAAGAAGAGTTGATGTATAATACCACCTGCAGCTAATTGTTCATCTGGGATTTCAAGATTTTTCCAATTCCAATAAGCTAAATTATGTGGATTTGAATCATCAGTGTGAAATCGATCGTTTCGTACGAGATTAATAGCATCTGATAGAATAGCACGACTAATGGTAAAAGGAAGTGAGAATGCTGAACCGATTTCGTTAGGAGGTTTGGTCTTTTCCGTCATGAGACCAGGATATAATTCAACGTTATTTATATCACCATAAAGGTTCTGGAGTTTTGCAGCCACTTCTTTATTAGCCGTCATATCCTCAAATGAAGTATAAGGCTTCAAATTAAGGAACTTGCGGAAGTCGTTAAGACTAGCCAAACCCAAATCTCTGGCAGTTTGAATACCAGTAATTTCAATAATACGTAAAGACAAAGGAATATTATTCGCACCGAATGAACCTATCCAATATAATTAATTATTATATAATTAATTGTTAGTCATTATTTTTATGAATAATAAAATTTTTAATGATTATTACCAGCAATTTTATCCGTTCCTTTTATGAGCTCTTCAGCAATATCACTATCTTTGAATTTTCCATTTTTATCTCGTTTCATATTATTAAATGTCCATTCAGATGGGTCCTTAGGTAGACTTTTAGACCATTCTACAATTTTCTTAATAAATGTATTAAAGTCGACCTGATTTAAACGATAGCATTATTAATATAATAAATGAATTCAGCATGAAAGGAGCAATTACAGTATATAAATTGAGATAATTACTTTTTCTGGATCATCAATTCCCAAAACTTTTTTGAACTCATTGTTAATCCATTCCGCATCAGCTTCAGAGATAGCTGGATGCCATCGATAGATAAAGTTAAACTCCAAAGAGACTTGATTGCCAATTCCGGTAGGTAAGGGCGTAAGTAAAAGATTACTATTACTATAAGGCTTTGTTGGGTCAAGGTACCATGTTGATTGAGTCCTATCAAGACCGAGGATAGTTTCAAGGTAATTATGAAGAATTACTCTTAAATAATAACCGCAATTAATTAATCGAGCGGTTTGAAAGAGATGTTCATCATCTTTAAATTTGCCAGTTTCATAAAGATAATTTGCAATATAATTGTGATTCCGCGAAAAAACTATCAATAAAGCACCTACACCTGGTGGCTGAATCAAAATTCTTGAGTCAGCAAATGTATCTGGTTTTAAGCTACCTAATACACCGGTACGAATTTTTGCTAGATCTTCATTACTACTTCCATACAATGGAGAAAGATCAAGATAAGATGAATTTTGATTGATTGAGTAATTTTGAGGATCAGAATTGAATAAATCATGAGTGATTATTATGGCAAGGTAGAACAGTGTTGAACTGATACCCGAAGGATGAGGGATGAATTTATTACGCTTCATGAGATCATCAAAGATTTTACCCGCATCAGGAAATTGAGTAAGAGGTGTTAGAATGGGGGCCGAACGTGCATATTGGGTACCTGCTTTTCCAAGTTGTAAGAAGAGCCTGAGTCTGCTGTAGTCAGAACCGTCACTGCTACGATAACTATAATCAGCCAACATGGTTGGTGGTTTTGTGATATCATTCCATAGTCGTGTAATCAAAAGTCTCTCTAAAAGGTTAACGATTTCAGGATGAGTCGGATATTTCGCAGACATGAGTTTAATTAAACTTTCCATCTATAAAAACATTTTAGTTATTAGTTATTATCAATTATTAACGTTAAAATTATCTAAATCATATATATATGCATATATGCATATATGGGCTCACCATGAATTTCGAATCATCTACAGGCTCTTGAAAAACGGAGGTCTGAATTAATTCATGGACTAGCTTTAATTCTTCTTCAGCATCCTCAAAATGCTTGGAAATTTCATTTTTTAGGTCATCAAATGCTGAAAAAAGAGTGGTCGTTAGAGAAAAGGTTTTTGATGACATCGTATTTCAAAATAGCAGCAAAATAGCAGCTGTGTAAATGATTTTTTAAATGCGTACGTTTTTATATTTAAAAAAAAAACAAAGTTTCTTACTATTATCTGTTACTTTTGAGATACATAATCTAGCATTAAAAACAAATAACTTTCCCTTTTCACATAAACTATATACAGCTAATTTGTAATGATCCGCATAATGTTTGCTTACACATCTACTTTTCCCAGAATTCTAATTGATCAGTAAAAGTTAACCAATAATAATAACAGTTTTGTGAATAAAATATTATGCAAGGTTTGCCGACTTATTTAACTATATCTATAATAGGCAATGCAATAGTGATTCAAGTAAACCACTCAAAGGTCACACATTTTCCAGAATTGTTTAACTAATTCCTTTCTTTCCTCTTGTCATGCATAAATATTTTTACACGTGTACATACGTATTATTGATAAAATTTTGCTTCAAATTACTTTATATGTATATGTATTGCCAGAAGAAAGTTGGACTTGTGGTTTTTTAACTCTACAATGATTTGCTTCAACTCCTAATAAATCCGATCTGCGTTATATGAATATAATTAAGGTACTTACACATGTACGTATTACGCGTAAATATCTGACATGCAATTAATATCTGGCATGCAAATAATATCTGACATACCATTAATATCTGCATGCAATTGATAGTTTGATAAAATTTTTAACGCCACTTATTAGAAACTACTTTCAATTATATATATCTTATCTGATTATTGGAGGATTAAGTATATATAATAAACTAGAGCTGCAGTTAAGTTGCAGAGAGCAAAAACTATAATTGTATATTTATAATAACTTATAAATTACTACATTTTTCACTCTTGTATTATAGGTAGATTTTTTTTGTTGTTTTTTTTTAAAAAAAAAAACTTTGAGCAAGAATAACTCAACAACCATCTGATCAAATTCAATGATTTTTTTTATTTGAATTCAATGAATTATTAGAATTTAAATAAAATTTTTACAAATTTGATCAGATAGTTGCTGAGATATCTTCTATTTTTGATTGATGTTTTGATATTTTTGAAAAGCTTTGAGCAAAAATATTTCAGCAACCAACTGATCAAATTCAATGAAAATTTTTTATTTTAATTCTAAGGATCTATAAAATTCAAATAAAAAAAATTCATTAAATTTGATCAGGTGGTTGCTGAAATATCTGCTCAAAGTTCTAGGAAATATTTGGTGCATTTTCTATTTTTTGATAAAAAGACATTTTTAAAAAAATTTTGATTGATAATATCTCAGCAACCACTTGATCAAATTTGATGAAATTTTTTATTTGAATTCTATAGATTTATTAAATTCAAATAATGATGGTTGCTAAGAAATTGTACAATTATGTGCAATTAATTGCAATCAGACAAGTTAAAATTTATTTGAATACTGTTTCTAATAGGATTCTAAAAACAAACTCTAATCCTAATTTTTTTTTTACAGTAGTAGCATAGTATTTGAAGGCTCTTTTTTAGAACTTTATCAGAAATGGCATTTAAAACAAATTTTTTTTTACTCTACTAGAAACAATAATTAATTGTCAAATCAGTTAAATCATAAAGTATTATAAAACTATGTTGAGTTTAAGCCTATTAGTAACTTACTGAGAACAAGAGTGACTTGTATAATCTGTTATCCATTTTAAATTCTGAAAATTAATATATCTTAGTGATAGACTTATAAAATCTGTATTGCTTTCTGAAATAATAAAATAACTTTAATTTATCAAAAATAGAAATATATATAGAATGATTTATCTTTATGTCAGAGATTATTTTCAGAATGAAATTAAAAAAGAAATCTCTAGATAGACCTGGGTTTACATATTTATCATAAACCTAATTGTATGTAATTTTAAAAAATTTATTTATACAATGTTTATGATAAATTTATAAACTTTGGGTCTAATACTAATACTAAATTTTTTTTTTTTTTATTTTGAATTTGCTGTATACATAATAAGATTAGTTACAGATTTATATCAAGATGATATTAATTTAAACTATTTATTGTATCTTGTATAACCACTTAAGTGTAGCAAATCACCTCTTAATTTTCTATTTGCAAACTAATTTAAGACTAGCTACTATTAGTTATAGAGGGGGAAAGAGGGGCCCAATAGATAAAGTATAAGATTAATAAAAGCATGAAAAGATAGAAAAGTTTTGATTATGCCATTTTTGAATATATGGATCAATATTGTAATTATAAATTGTTGTTATTGGGGTTTTGGAGGTAGTAGTTGGTAAGGAGAATTTAATTTATTTAGATTTAGATGTGATATTTCTTGTGATTTCCCAGTCATGTTGAAATTGGTTTCTGATTGCCAGATGTTTAAGTTAAACTAAGAAAGAGATTATTAGAAAGACAAAGACAAAAGTTGGTAGTATTTTTAGTAAGGATAGATTGCAATTGGTTAGTAGTATAAAGGAGAATTATCCCTTGTATGAGAAAGAAAAGTTTTGGGAAAGTGTATTTTGAGTATTTGTATTGAGTAGTATATTTGTAATTTTTAGAGGGTTTGCATTTTCAATTTTGAGTTCAGTTATTGTTTGGATTGTATATTGTTTAAGTATTTGATATGGGTCGAAAAGTGCTTGATTGCAGTTTAACAGGTGTAAAGTATCTTCGTATTAATTATATTAGGTACAGTTAGGAGTTAAGTAAAGGTTAGAGTAATGAAGATGAAGGTTGGACATTGTAGGTAGGTTGTTTAGTAGTATTTTAATATGTAGTGAGAATAGGTTAGGTTTGTAATTATAGGAGTTAATGATAGTTGTGAAGGTTTTAATATTGAATTAAGAAATATTACGAATATTTTTAAGTTGAAGGAATTTATTGAAGGTTTCAATAAAGATTAAATTTATTGTAAATTTACAGGTTTGTGAAGTAAGTAGAGTATTACTCTATAAGAAGAAGGAAAATGTTATAAGATAATCTAAATTAAGTTCAATGGATCATCTGTTTGTGCCTCTTTTTGCAAGAATGTCTGCATTCTGATTTAAAGCATTTTTGTAGTGTGCTTTAACTTTATGTGTAGTGAGAGATATTTTTTTCTTTTGAAGAAGATTGTTGATGATATGTAAATAATCTCAGTTTTCATTTTTGATTTGTGTAGAGTGGTAATAAGGTAAGTTTTTAAGAATTTGGATTGTAGAGGTGTTATCGCAATGAATATGTATATGAAGATTTTGTGATAAGGAGAGAAGTATAAATATAATTGGTGCTAGTTCAGCTCTTGTAGTATTAGTAGCATTTGTGATATTGGCAGAGAATTTAATTCTA